CATGTTCAAGCATGAAGAGCTCTAATATGAAACTGTCTGACTGTAGTTATTGTAGAGTGGAGAATCATTTACCTCAGTGTTTCCAGTTTACAGCTCACAGTCTTTAGTCCATCAGAGAGCTTCTTCACTCCTGAATCCTGCAGGTCATTGTTACTCAGGTCCAGCTCTCTCAGCACACAGTTTGAGGATTGTAGAGCTGAAGACAAACTCTCACAGGACTGAACAGTGAGTTTACATGTGACCAATCTGAGAAAGAGCACACATTACTAAAAACCACACTGTTAATGTGATCTGTCTGATGTAACTAAATAAAAAAATCAATCAATCAATCAATCAGGTGTTTAAACTCAGACCTCAGTGTCTCCAGTTTACAGTGTTGACTCTTCAGTCCATCAGAGAGCTTCTTCACTCCTGAATCCTGCAGGTCATTGTTACTCAGGTCCAGCTCTCTCAGGACACAGTTTGAGAATTGTAGAGCTGAAGACAAACTCTCACAGCTCTGAACAGTGAGATTACAGCTCTGTAGCCTGTGTAGAGGACAAACACAAATATTGATTGAATATTGTTCATCTGGTGTGTTTAATAGTCTGAAGCACAGACATTTATTTGTCCTTTGTTGCATGCTTGTTCAACACTTTGATAAACACTTGTCTTTAAAAGCGCTTTATAAATAAACATTGTCTTGACTTGACATTGAATTATTAATCCTGCTTGCTTTTTGAGCACTGTTGAGCGAGTTCTTAAACACCTGTGATTGGTCATTGTGTTCCTCTACAGAAATGATGATGCTGATGACTGCGCTGATCACAGCTGACCCATGACAGACGCAGTGGAGAAAACTCGTTCTACAGACAGCCTGGATCCACAAGTATCACTGATAGCTTACATTTAAATAGATTTGTCTTTTTTATTTAGAGTCAACACATAGATATAATCATATAATCATTATCAATGTGCAGAACTGAATAAAATCACATCCCTGCAATTTTTTTTGTTTATTATTCTTCTGCCAATCTACTGAAAGGGGCACCACATTTGGTAACAATATGAAACTGTCTGTTTGATTTTGTAGAGAGGAGAATCATTTACCTCAGTGTCTCCAGTTTACAGTTCACAGTCTTCAGTCCATCAGAGAGAAGCTTTACTCCTGAATCCTGCAGGTCATTGTTACTCAGGTCCAGCTCTCTCAGGACACAATTTGAGGATTGTAGAGCTGAAGACAAACTCTCACAGCACTGAACAGTAAGATTACACATGACCAATCTGAGAAAGAAGAACACAGATTACCAAAAACCACACTGTTAATGTGATCTGTCTGATGTAACAAAACAAAAAATCAATCAATCAATCAATCAATCAATCAATCAGATGCTTAAACTCAGACCTCAGTGTCTCCAGTTTACAGTGTTGACTCTTCAGTCCATCAGAGAGCTTCTTTACTCCTGAATCCTGCAGGTCATTGTTACTCAGGTCCAGCTCTCTCAGGACACAGTTTAAGGATTGTAGAACTGAAGACAAACTCTCACAGCACTGAGCAGTGAGATTACACATGACCAATCTGAGAAAGAAGAACACAGATTACCAAAAACCACACTGTTAATGTGATCTATCTGATGTAACAAAACAAAAAATCAATCAATAAATCAATCAATCAATCAATCAATCAATCAGATGCTTAAACTCGGACCTCAGTGTCTCCAGTTTACGGTTTGGACTCTTCAGTCCATCAGAGAGCTTCTTCACTCCTGAATCCTGCAGGTCATTGTGACTCAGGTCCAGCTCTCTCAGGACAGAGTTTGAGGATTGTAGAGCTGAAGACAAACTCTCACAGCACTGAACAGTGAGTTTACACATGACCAATCTGAGAAAAAGAACACAGATTACCAAAAACCACATTGTTAATGTGATCTGCCTGATGTAACAAAACAAAAAATCAATCAATCAATCAATCAATCAGATGCTTAAACTCGGACCTCAGTGTCTCCAGTTTACAGTGTTGACTCTTCAGTCCATCAGAGAGAAGCTTCACTCCTGAATCCTGCAGGTCATTGTTACTCAGGTCCAGCTCTGTCAGGACACAGTTTGAGGATTGTAGAGCTGAAGACAAACTGTCACAGGACCCAACAGTGAGTTTACACATGGCCAATCTGAGAAAGAGCACACATTACTAAAAACCACACTGTTAATGTGATCTGTCTGATGTAACTAAATAAAAAATCAATCAATCAATCAATCAATCAATCAATCAATCAATCAATCAGGTGTTTAAACTCAGACCTCAGGGTCTCCAGTTTACAGTGTTGACTCTTCAGTCCATCAGAGAGCTTTTTCACTCCTGAATCCTGCAGGTCATTGTTACTCAGGTCCAGCTCTCTCAGGACACAGTTTGAAGATTGTAGAGCTGAAGACAAACTCTCACAGGACCAAACAGTAAGATAACAGCACTGTAGTCTGTGTAGAGGACAAACACAATATGTATGTGTTGATCTGGTGTGTTTAATAGTCTGAAGCACATCTGACACTGACTGTAGTGACTGGTTTAACTTCACTAATTAGTAAGTACATGTGCTGATTTTAGCATTTAATAGTTTTAATGTCTATAAAACACTATTAAATGGCTTCCTTCAGATGTTTCAATAGCCCAACTCTTTATTAAACTCCTAACACACAGGACATATTTTTTTTAAATTCATTCTTCATCTCAGATAACAAACTCACAAAAGATCAGAGTTGCCAGATGGAGCTGACTGATTCCAGCCCAAAAGCTATTAAAAACCCGCCCAGTCAACACTGCAAAAGATATGAGAATGTTTCATATGACTCACACATGCTTATTCTGAATATATGGCTCACACTGATACGGCTAACAGCTATTCTTACTGATAGGATTTACACAGCACAAGAGTGAGTGCTTGTAGTTACACTACACTACCGTGACACTTTTCCTGGTGACGTAAAGCCAATCTGCAAATCACAGCACAATACATTAGCTGACCAATTTGAGCGGACTCGTTCATTTCAGAATGGAAAAAAAAACATCAGTGTGATCATTTCACTCTTACCAGAAACTGTTACTGTTTCTTATGAGATAGTTCTCCTAAACATTTACTCTCCATTAAGGGTGCTTTCACACTTGGTCCAATTGCCTGAACCGTACCCAAGTTCGATTGTCCCCCCTTGCCACCTCTGAAACTAATCAGATGGTGCTCTGTGGCGCGGCTGAAATATGAACTGCTTCCTGAGTCGTGGCTGGGTGATGCCGACAGCCGCCGACTTGCAGGGCCGGTGTGTACCCTGATAGAAACCTATGTTTAGAATTTTAAAATGCATGGCGCTGCGCGATGCCGAGCGGCGCTTCTGGTGTGCAACCTGCTGAAATCATTTATATCCAGTAGATTACGTGGAGTCTGTGCTACCTTTATGATGTGACATGGTTAGACTTTTGATTCTAAAGACACATTTGACTGTACAAAGCCGTTTTGACACGACAGCATGGAGATCGTTAATCATCTAATCACTAAAATTAGCAAGTTGTCTAGAAGTGTGTGGGATGATTTTTGTGCCAATAAGAATGAACGTAACTTTATAAAACTGAACGTAACTTTCCAAGAAACGATCAAAAATATGGCACTGCAAAAGAAGAAAATCACAATGAAAACGAAAAAATGAACTCAGTCGCACGAATTTAACATGCTCTTCAAATATGCTTCATTCTTTGTTAATGATTTTCAAAGAATCGTTTTCGCGAATCATGGATTTTGGATGCGTTGCCACAGCTTTCGCTTACGCTTCGCAAATTTTCGTTTGCTGTTTTGGCACAAACTTCTCGTGGGGGCGGGGTTAACAGCGATCTACTCTGATTGGCTAATGAGCTTTTGATGGACAGTTGCTCTCTGACCTGGAAGCACAGACGGTGACGTCAGTGGAGCGCATATCGAAAAGTTGTTGCGGTGTGCAATACGTCGTGCTTTATGTTAAGTATTAATGTTAGTATTTTACCTACGGTCGGCTCTTTCTAAAGATGACCTCCCGGGAGAGACACGAAGCGGCATCATCTTCCACCTCATCTTGTCCCTCAGGGCAGCTTGAAGTAAGTTTGTGTTGCTAAAGTAACGTTTATCAATAACATCAATAAAAGCTTTATTCATGTACAGTGTGCAACAGTTCTGGCTTTATTTAACACTTTTATTGTTTAAATGTTGTGTTTAGAAACGTTATACATTTTTGGTTTATTGTGTAAAAACATTTAATGTGTATCAAGATACAGTGTATAGATGTCAATATATAATAGATATTGCCTTCTTTTCTTTTAATGCTACTTGGTCAGGACCAAAGACAAGTCACTTTTCCAGGTAGGCACTGAATGATTGCATATAAATTCTAAAGCTTACAGAAAGCTTATCTGATGCCCAAGATTTCTCTCAGATGCCTAAAGCTGAATGTAAGAAATGCTTTAAATCTATGCCACTACAGATTCTTGCTCTGCACGTAAAGGAATGCAACACTGCTGAATATGAGACACTTTCGGATTCAGAACCAGAGGTAAGATAAATTGTTTAAATAAACCTAATGAGTATTCTGTAAGATTCATGTGGAAATATGTCAAATGTTTTGTCTATTTCTAGCTGTCCAATCTACCTTCTGATTCACCCGATTTATCTCCTGCTACTGAAGAAAAGGTAATCACCTAGTTGCTTGGGTTGACATTATTCTTACTTCTTTTAATGTGTATTTTACATCATTACATGCTTTTTAATCAACAGAGGCAAAGTGTCCTGTTTGTCTGCAAAGTTTGAGTACTTTTTTCTGTAGATAAATAATAAAGGTGTTTTTTTAAACATTATCTTAGCTTAGCTGTTGTATTACACTCTCTAGTGCCATACAACACAAATAACAAAGAATAGAAATGGCTCCTACAATGAGTTGAAAATGTACTTGCTGACTGTAGAAATTGTATTACACAATTTTCTTGTTATTGTTATAGAGTTGCTGAGGAAATATTTGCCGTAAGTCTCGCGCAAGGTGGTCCAGCTCCACGATATTTACAGGAATGGTGTTACAATTACCTTCTAAGTGGAAACCTTGAAAACATCAAGGTGGATAATGATACTAATAACATAATAACATGGAATTTATTAATAATAATAATGGGATAATAACATGGAATTTTCACCACTGATTAAATTGGTATATCTGAAAACAATTTGTAATTATGTAGTTTATTTCTATTGCCATGTACCTTTTATAAATGTTTCAAGAAAATCTTCAATTCTGTCTAGATCGAGGAGACTTCAGACCTGTCGAAATACAGTGATCAAATAATGAGCTGTGGCTACACTGGCCCTATAAATGAGCAAAACAAGGAGAATATAAAGAGGTGTCATGTTATGCATTCCTTAAGTCTATATTCTAAACAATGTGAGTTTAATAATGAGATTGTAAAACAATGTTTGTTTCTGTTCTATAAAGAGCAATTGCAATGCATGCCGCTGCTCGACGGACTCGCATGCTTCAACAGCTCCGTGAGGGTCTCCAACTTTACCGTCTAGTGGATATCATGGAGAAGAACAAAGAAGTTTGCCATAGCCACTTTGTTTTTGAAGGTGGCAATGATCAGGTGAGGTGCATAACTTTTGTAAAAAAAAATTTGAAGCAGTGGTTCTCATTTCAGGTCTTGGGGGCCCACTGCTCTGGACTGCGTTTCCCAAAAGCATTGTAAGTTGATAGTAGAACCAATGTTACCAATGGAGCTATGATCAACTTGGGTTTTGTAATACTTTTGGAAAACACAGCCCAGCACAATTTGTATTTTTATTTTTTTTTAACGCACCTGATTCAGGTCATGAGCTTGTTATAAGACCACTCCGTGAACTAAACCAAGTGTGTCAGATGAAAGAAACATACAAAATGTGCAGTGGGTCTGCAGAACTGGAATTGAGAACCACCGTGTTAGAGAAAATTTTTGTGTGCTGCATACAGAATGCTCTTTAGATGATGTCTTTTTTTTCTCCTCTTAACTTACCTTGTCATCTTTCTTGTTTTTCCAGGTGGACTCTCAATACATCTTATCACATCTTGACCCTAAAATGAGTGATAGTGGCACTCTGAAGCACTTCAAAGAAATGCAAATCTTGAATAACTTCCAGGATTTTCTTATGAAACTCGAAGGTAAGTTTGTTGTTATTCCAAAACGTTTGAAAGGCAGATGCCTTAGAGCTTAAATACATAATGTATATTTACTGCCCTAGATGGAGATCCTGAGGATGAGGAGGCACTTTGTGTGTCAAAAGTAATGCAGTGGCTGTCTGGTCAAGCACACGTGCATTTGCTTCTTTCAGAAAGACAAGCTTTTAAAATCACTGTTCTATTTGACCATACATACATGGAACGTATGCCAGACCCTGTGCTGCCCTGTGGACAGTGCATGGACCCAGACAATCACATTTCCCACTGCACATTCAACAAGTTTAAATGAATTTAAAGAAAACGTGAAAATTGCAGTGCAACAGGGAGGGTTACAGGGTTTAGAAAAGATTTGTTAATACACTTCTTTGTCCTTTTAATTGGACTTGGAGCTTTTGAAAAAAGAGAGAGACACTATACTTTGTCATTTGTTTTATTTTCGAAAGAGTGGCTTATAAGATTTCAAAACATTGCTATGACATTAGTTTTACATAAACATTACATGTGTATTCTTGTGAATTAAATTTCTGATGGAACTACATGTGTTTTTGTAAGTTTTTCTTGGCAAGGTTTTAAATTTGCACAACATTATGAAATTAGTTTTGCCTAAATGTTCCATGTGTATTCCTGTAAATTAAATTTCAGATGGAACTACATGTGTTTTTGTATGTTTTCCTTGTTAAAAGTGAAATTTTAAAGCAGTCTTTGAATAATATCAAGTGACTGGAAATAGAGCTCTCGGTTATTCAATGATGATGTCAAGGCATCAATAAATCCCTGCAGAAGAGCAAGGCTCTGTTCAGATAAAGGGCATTGGATCTCTGGAACCACAACACCATCTTCTGGGTCAGTATCAGTTTGCTTTTGAAACAAACACTCCGATGTCTGCAAAATCAAAGAAACATTAAGTAGGTGAAAAAGTTTTCAGCTCTTTTGAAATAATGTCAATAACTTTTTATGTTCAAATCTGGTATTAAGATGTGTTTTCAATTTATACACATCACAAGTGATCAAGTTAGGCACATTTACAAAGAAGTCTGCTACCATGCTTCTGAAGCGCTTTTGTTGTAATAAAGACAATTACATTAAATACCTTAAGATCCACACAAAAATAATTTAAAATCTTTAAGAAATAAGGGTGATAAAATTAAGAATTTTAGAGATTAATAAAGAATACCTCTACATCTGGCTCAATCACTGGTGTCTGCAACTTTCCTATGTTTCAAAGCTGATTTGGTGAAAGATTTCTTTCGGTCATGATAGGATGGTTGTTCCAGCTCCCAATGAAGCACTTCAGGTCAGATTTCAGCCATGGAAGAATTGTGTAGTGCACACAAAAAGAGGTGCAATTCATTTGATAAATCAAGCACTCCATCTACCATTGCATGCATAATTTCATAATATTTTGAAGTGACAGCTGACCAAACATCACACCACAGGCGCTCAATTCTTAAAAAAAAAAAAAAAAAAAAGATTTTTGTTTAGTATGCTTGCAAAACAGCAAACAGACCATGGTATAATGTAATGCCACACATTAACATGTCCGAAAAAATGTTATCAAGCTAGTGGTTGTTGGACCCCAACAAAAATAACATAAAATAGCACCTTTGATTGTGAACGCTTTTTCTGGCAATGAAGCTACCTCGACCAGTTCCTCGTACTGAGAACATGCAACGCGCAATGTCCACGTTTTCAACTCCCTGGTCACCACGTACTCTGGAAAAGATTTAGGGAATATTCATTCAAAGTTAGGTTTCATTCAAAGAAATATTTGCAACTGTATATTAAAGTCATTAGCTTTGAAAATGTATAAACATAGGTGACTTTTTGTAAAGACAGAACACTGCAAGATTTAAAAATACCATAACTCACATTTGTGAAGAATTCAATATATCATAATTCACATAATTTGCTTTGTGCAAATAAAGTACCACACACTGATATCACACAACATGTAGTTAAGATGTTGACTCTAAAAAGACTTTAAGATATAACATAAACGACACGTATTAACAGTGTTCTTACCTTAAAGGCCACCCATGTTTGTGAACACCCTCCAGGACGAATAAGAAAGCAGTTGATGCCTTGTTGTTTTCAGCAGCATCAAGGTATAGGATCTATTAAAAAAGGGGTTCAGGAGAAACATTTAAATATATATTTAAAAAATTCACTTTAAACATACATTGTACAGACCAGTGTTGCAAGCAGTATCACATATTTATTTTGCCCAGTTTCTCAGACAAGACTTAAGCCTTGTCCTAGATTTCTCTCTTCTGCTGATCAATAAAGAAGATATTTTTAAGAATGTTGCAAACTAAACAGTTGACAGCAGCCACTGATTTTTAGAGTAGCTCCTGTAGATCTGTAAGCTTTAGAATTTATATGCAATCATTTAGTGCCTACCTGGAAAAGTGACTTGTCTTTGGTCCTGACCAAGTAGCATTAAAAGAAAAGAAGGCAATATCTATTTTATATTGACATCTATACACTGTATCTTGATATACATTAAACGTTTTTATACAATAAACCAAAAATGTATAACGTTTCTAAACACAACATTTAAACAATAAAAGTGTTAAATAAAGCCAGAACTGTTGCACACTGTACATGAATAAAGCTTTTATTGATGTTATTGATAAACGTTACTTTAGCAACACAAACTTACTTCAAGCTGCCCTGAGGGACAAGATGAGGTGGAAGATGATGCCGCTTCGTGTCTCTCCCGGGAGGTCATCTTTAGAAAGAGCCGACCGTAGGTAAAATACTAACATTAATACTTAACATAAAGCACAACGTATTGCACACCGCAACAACTTTTCGATATGCGCTCCACTGACGTCACCGTCTGTGCTTCCAGGTCAGAGAGCAACTGTCCATCAAAAGCTCATTAGCCAATCAGAGTAGATCGCTGTTAATTTGCGAAGCGTAAGCGAAAGCTGTGGCAACGCATTCAAAATCCATGATTCGCGAAAACGATTCTTTGAAAATCATTAACAAAGAATGAAGCATATTTGAAGAGCATGTTAAATTCGTGCGACTGAGTTCATTTTTTCGTTTTCATTGTGATTTTCTTCTTTTGCAGTGCCATATTTTTGATCGTTTCTTGGAAAGTTACGTTCAGTTTTGTAAAGTTACGTTCATTTTTATTGCCACAAAAATCATCCCATAGAAGTGGCTAAGTCAACTTGGATGAGTGAGCAATTTGCAACCAGAATATTAAGTATTAGCTAACTCAAAATCCTCTGACTAACTTTAGGATGTTGACATACTGTCCGTGAGAAGACACACAAAACCCGGGCTGTGAAAGTCTGAGCGATGTTTGGTTCCTAGTGAACGTTTAACTGAAGAGTATTGGAACAGATATAAATCTAAACTCTAAATTAAGTCATAAATGATGAATGTGATCTGTTCTTACAATAAGAAATACAGTCTAAATTTTAGGATCACTTAAAATTGGAGGCAGATTAAATTCTGAGCTAAAAAACAAACATAAATAAATTCTAATAAATAAAATGCTTTTCAGAAGCACTAGAAAAGCTTACATTTATTTAACTTTTGACCATGTTGTTAATCATTGGGCTAATAGATGGACTTCTACAGATGAAAGAAAGAAGCACTTTGACTTACAGAGCTCTTTTGGAGGTTTTGATGACTGCTGATAGTCTGATGAGACAATCGTCTGATCTCTGGAATTTCTGAAGCTCAAACTCCTCCAGCTCCTCCTCTGAGGTCAACAACACAAAGACCAGGGCAGACCACTGGGCAGGTGAAAGGTCAGCAAATGACAGACTTCCTCTACTGAGGTGAGACTGAATCTCTTTCAGCAGAGTTTGGTCGTTCAGTTCATTCAGACAGTAGAACAGATTGATGGATCTCTCTGGAGACAGATTCCCTTCAAGTTTCTGTTTGATGTAGGCAATTATTTCCTCTTTGCTCTGGTCTCTGTCATCCTGCTGTGTCAACAGGCCTCGTAAGAGTTGTCGATTGGACTGGAGAGACAGACCGAGAAGGAAGCGAAGGTAAAGGTCCAGATGTCCATTCTCACTTTCCAGAGCCTTGTCCACTGCAGTCTTCAGCAAATCTGTCATGACTTTATTTTTGCTTATCTGTATTAAAAACCATCCATGCTTCTTGTCACTGTCTAGAATCAGATGTTGATAAAGGGCTGCAATGAACTCCTGAATGCTCAAGTGAAGAAAGCAGTACATGGTACCAAGAATGATTCCCGTCTCCTCCTTAAAGATCTGGGTACACATGCCTGAGTACACCGATGCCTTATAGACGTCAATGCCACAGTCTTTCAGATCGCTCTCATAGAAGATCACATTGTTTCTTTCCAGCTGCTGGAAGGCCAGTTTCCCCAGTGAAAGGATGAGGTTTGGATCCCAGGAGACATCTGCTGTGTTTTCTCCATCATACTTTCTTCTGCTCT